ATTTTTTCCTTCCTTCTGGTCTACTGCCTTGATTTGAGTCCCAGTCTCCTTTCCATTACTATTGATTTCCTGTGCATTACCATTCATTTCAATTAGTTTAGCTTTCATATGTTTCTCTAATTTGTGACTAAAATCACCCAGTTCTGTGAGGATCCGGATCACCAGTGTTTTGAACTGTGCATCTGACAGTTTGGCTATTTCTTCATCACTTAGATTTATCGGCTCTGGGGCTCTGAGATGTTCTTGAGCCATTTTTGGTCTGTTTGTGCCAGTTAAGTATGAGGAGTGGAGCCTTACTTGTTTACCAGGGCGGGGCCACCCAGGTCGCTGGTTTGTGACGCTGTAGGTGGGGGCGGGGTCAGAGAAGGGGCAATGGCAGTCCTCTCCGCTGGCCCAGTCCGTCCCACCACTCACCCCCCCGCCTGTTTATCTGAGGGGAAATGTGCGAGCCTGCTGCCCTGCGCCGTGCGGTCTCAATGCTCGCCTCTTCACTGGTTTATCTGCACGCAAATGCTCGACAGACCACAGACAGCCAGCTGCGCCTCTTCCCTGTGTCTGCCCGCAGCTAGCCCGCACCTGGGATCTGCGTCTTCAGCTGCCTGCGTACTACCCCAGTCGGGGATCTTTTTGGCCTACCTGCTCCGCTGCTGGCTTTGCCCCTCTTACCCATTTAGCTGAGCATTTCGTTGTTTTCGGACTCTGTACTGTCGATTTTCTGTGTGGTTTGGTTGCGTTTATTGTTGTTAAAACTTTGTTGTTTTTATATTTGGTTGTGCGAGGACGCAAGGTGTTTCCACCTACGCCTCCATCTTGGCGGAAGTCTCTATTTTTACTTCTATAATGTTTGGAAAGGTTTTACAACACCCTGGCAGCCAAGGGCTTTCCCTTTTCTTGTCCAAGGGCTTAGCGAACAGTGGAGATGGAGGAACACCAAGTACTCTCATCTTTGTATTAACAGCTAAGTTATAACAGTAGCTTATGTACCATGTACTATTCCATTTAAATGATCCCACAAGGTAGTTGTTACTGTCATGCCCATTTTGTGGATGAGAAAAACTGAGATACAGAGAGGTGAATTAACTTACCCAAGATCGCATGACTTACCCTTACTGGGAAGAGCCCTTCTGACTGGCCATTCCCTAGAGTAGAAGAAGTTGTCAAATCTCACTCCCTCCCAGCCAAATCAGTATTTCCTCCCTTCCTAAGTCTCCAGACACACCCCTTCCTACAAAGTCTGCTCCCTGGGTAGCTTGTGCAAGGTTGGGGCTCCTGCCTCTTGCCAGATGGTGAAGAGCAAATTCAAGGGTTCCTCTCCAGGCCCCTGGGGTGCAGGTCCCTTTGTTCCTAAGTGAGAAACCCCAGCCTAGACTAGGACAGCTGCCTAGGCCAGGAGAGTTACAGACCTCTCCCCACCTGCCCAGAGCCAGGGGTGGGTCTGCTGGGCCCTAGACCACTTCAGCTGCCTGCAGAGCACCTGCTCATTATTAAAAGCTCAGGTTCATTGCCTGCTCTTCCATGAAGCCTTCCCGAATTCCCCCAACAGTCATCGACTTGCTGTCTCCAAGGCCATACTGAGTGCTTCTTCCAAGTAGGACAATGGCTTACTCAGTAACTTATGTGCCTGCCATACGATAACCATTCTACTACAATAATAGCAGCTATTTCAGACTTATCACACTCTCCATAAACTTCCACGTCCTGTGATGGATGCTGCGATGCACTGGCCAGGTTTCCTCCAGGACTGAGGAACTATTCTCCCAGCTGCTGGGAGTGCTGCCAGCAGGTGGCTCTCTGCTACCAGCCCCCTCCGGGGATTGCCTCTGCGACGTGAGCTGCCCAGCCAGACGTCCTGCCCCTTTCTCAGGCAGCCTGTTTCCAATGACTGATCAACATGGGGCTTAACCTCAAGATAACTCTGAAAAACCTTCCCGCTTCAGAGCTCCCAGCTATGCCCAATCGCGCTTCCTTTTCTTCTCTTCCACAGGTGTTAATTCTAAGAGCATTCTCCAGTAAACTTCCTGCACATTTACCTCCATCTCAGAGTCTGCTCCAACGATTACCCAACCCCTGCAACATCTATCCCTCATCCCATTCATGTACTGATTCCTTCAGCTGATTTTATTGAGTACCTATTATATTTTGGCCCAGCAGCAGAGGCAGCGGATGGAGCGTGAAGCTAACTCTTCAATGGGTGATTCTATGTCCTATCTCTCAGAGAAATTAAAGGCTACAAAAAGGAGATTTCACCAACTTCCACTGTAAAATCCACAGACTTCCCTGCTGTGCCCCTCCTTTCCTCTTTCTTTGCCTCCTTGGAGGAGCTGGGTCCCCTTCCAGAGCCTAGACTGATACTGTATGTTCATCCATGCTCCCTCATCAGAATGACCAATCTGTCCTTGTTTGCCCGGGACTGTTTATTTTTAGAGAGAGAGGAAAGAGGGGAGAATGAGGAAGAGAAACATCGATGTGCAAGAGATATGTCTATTATTTGCCTCTTACATGCCCCCAACTGGGGACCTGGCCCACAACCCAGGCATCTGCCTTGGCTGGGAATCAAACTACTTCAGTTCGAAGGCCAGCACTCAGTCCATGGAGCCACACCAACCAGAGCTAGGACTGTCCAGGTTTTAAAATGGAAAGTCCCACATTCTGTTCAACCCATTAGTCCCCAGCTGGGCAAAGTGAGATGGTTGACCACTCACCTCTCACCTTCTTTGGGGACTTCATTTAATTGGTAATCACACCCCTCTGTTAATCTTCAACTGCTCACTCTGTGTCAGCTCCTTCCCATCATCATGTAAACCTCTCCTATTCTTTTTTTGCCCTGGCTGCTTTCACTCTGGCTGTTGCCACTCCTCTGAAACTGCTCCTGCCAGGGCCACCTGTGACCTCCTTGTTGATAAACTGAGTGGAAACTTTTCCATCTTCATAGTGCTTGGCTTGTGCTAGGCCAGATCTTCAAGTCTGGCTCACATTTAATGATGACAAGAATGACGTCTTGGATTTGGTTCAAGGTCCTTTTAAAATTAGCCTACGTCTGAAACAGCTAATGCCAACACCCCTCGTGCAAAGTGTGTACAGTGAGGAGGGTGCAGGTGAAAGAATGTGCCCCCCCTCTGCCTCCCTCGAGCACCTGGGGTTGGCGGGCTTCTCCGTTACAAACAGTGAGATGACCACACAGCTCACAAGAGCATAGAGACTGTTGTCTTTCACACTCCCACTCATATCGGCCTAGAAACATCTTTTGCCACCAAACTAGGCAAAAATTCTGCACCTGGCCCTCATGTCTGGGTTTTAAACCTTGACATTCTTGTTGGGCCAGTGCTAGATCAATCTCCTCTTATCAACATCTGAAGTGTAGAGCACAAGGGTTTTCCCTTCGTGTCTACTAAAATGGGCCCAATCGCTTCCCGTCCTTTTGGCTAAGATCAAGTATAGTATCTGTTCTTATCAGTTTAAAGTGGGCCCAGCCAGGTCTTCCTGAGGCTCTCAGCATCGTGGGCTCAGTTGACTCACCTGCAAAATTCTTTCACCTTGACTTCTGAGAGCCAAGAAACAGCTCCCTTTGCCAGAGTAGCTCCACTCCTCCTTCAGACCTCAACTTGCCTGTCACTTCCCCCTGAGAGCAGAGTCAATCTCTGCCCATTGCCTCACCCTGACTCACCTACCTCCTCCAACTAACTGTCTGAACCTGAGCTGGACCAGGGCAAGGCCTGGCTTGCAGGAGGACACCAGAGGCACCTGTTCCTCTGGAGGTTCCTGGGGACCCCAAGCCCTCCACCACACTCCCAAACTTCTGGAAGCCATTCTTTAATAGTTTCATTTCCCTTGAGTGATGGAGATGGGGAGAACACCTTGGTTTCCTTGTAGCTTTGCAATAATAGCTCTTTGCGTAGTTTTCTCATTTTGTTTTCACCCAACCTGCAGTGTTATCCCATTATACAGAGAGGGCAACTGAGGCCCAGGTAGGCGAGTGAAGAGTTTGGGCCAAATCAACCAGGTATTAAGTAGTGACTCTACTCTCTTGATGGCAGGTGCTCTGAGGGAATTTTGCCTCCTGCTTTCTTGCATGCCTCAGACCTGCTCCTGTGTGGGGACAGGTCAATTTCATGAAAGTGGTGAGCACCTCACCAATGTCATCCCAATTCGATTCACAGAAAGCTGTCCCTTTACATATGCAGGGGGTTTGGAGAACTTTCTGGTCCACGCTCTTCTGGGTGAGTAGGAAGGGCAGGATATTTGCCCTATTTTATAGACGAGTAAACTGGACACTCAGAGAGCAGAAGTGACTTCCACAATCTCAACACTAATAGTGACTCGGCCACTAGTTAGTGGAAGCAGGCCCCGTGATTCTCTTTGACACCCACAACCTTGGTGCTGGAAATCAGCATGAGGTTAGCCCACCAGAATCCAAGAGGCCAGCGGCTGTGAGGATGGACACAGGGCTGCCTAGCCATGCCCTAAGGGGCCGACCCTCATATTCAACAGTCCGTCCCTGATATTCCAGATGCGCTCAAAGCCAAACGGTGGAATTGTCATTCTCTGCCTCTGCTGCCCTTTCCACATCAAGGCTACTCTCGAAATTCATTCTTGGGATGGTCGCATGGAGAGAAGAGACCCTGGGCAGTGGCTAAAAATCCCTTCTTAGATAAGCGGATGCCCACAGAAAAAGCAGATTTGAAAACGGGTTTGATGTCTGGTTGCTGCAATTGGTGATGAATCCAATCCCAGGGACGATAAAGACAGGCCGGGACACTCCCGGACCCCAATCCCGTACTTGTTTCTGCGGATCAGTCTGGTTCGCCCGGCCTCGGAGGCAGCTTCAAAACCTCCACCTAACAGTTAAAGGAAATGCGCAAGCGCCCTGTTGCCAGCGCCCACAGCCTCAGGGCTGTGCTTTTGTTACTTAGAAAACAGCCAATCAGCGATCCAGCCGCTGACCAATGGGAAGCGCGGATAAGTCAATCCCGCAAATTTGAAAGCGTGGGGCGGGAGGAGGTTGGCGTGGTTGAAGGGAGGGTGTGGGGCACTCTCTCCTGTAGCCCCGGGCTCCTGTCTGTGGCGAGGGGACCCAGCTGCGAGCGGCGACACCAGCGGCTGGAAATCAACGAAGGGTAAGCGCTCCCGCGGGCTCCTACGCCCAGGTCTAGGACGCTGGGTCCCAGACGCTGAAGGTGGCAGCGCCAGCCCAACCCCTTTAGTTCGAGACACTAAAGTGCAACGTGGAGACCACCCAGGTCCTGCGTGGTCTCCTTGGAACAGGCAGGGAAGGTGTGGGAATCAGGGCGCTTCCTTACACATCTGCGCGGGAGATCGCGACCCCTCTGCTGGTCTGTACCGGATCTGGAGTGCGTCCGCACATCTGCACTGGGCCGGGCCGTCTGCACATCCGGTCTGTGAAAGACACTCCCGCTTGGGTGTAAGGAAGAATTGGGTCTTCCTAGAGACCTGGGACCCCCTGCGCATTGGTGCGGAGTAGCTAAGACCCTCTCTACATCTATGCAGAAGAATTGATTGTAGAGCTGTGTCAGAATGAACTTAGTTAGTTACTGGGCACTCAGTCAATATTTGATTGAATGAAGGAAGGAATGAAAGAATACCTGTATGGCAGAAAAACATGTTTTCTGCTACAGCTCCTAGGATGCCTCCTCTTAACCTTGACCCTTAAAGGTAGCGAATAACTTGGAAAAGATAACGCCCGGTCTCTGACATGGGAAACTTAGGGGATTTTACTGAAGACATTGCCTAGTTTGCCATGTGTAACGCGCTCCCATGTATAATGCGCACCCTTATTTACTACCAATGTACAATTCACATCCTTATTTTTCCCTCAAAAATTTGGGCAGAAAGTGTGCATTATGCATGGCAAAATACAACAAAAAGTTATCTGGCATCATGGGAAAATGTTGTTTGTCATATTAATCCTGTAATAATGGCTAACATTTTTGAGCACCTACCATGTTTGAGTGAACTTATTTAATCCCCACAACAATCCTATGGGATAGATACTAATATTTACATTTTACAGATTGCGAATCACTAGCTAAAAGGAGAAAGTCTACAGAATTTTTCTGAATGAACTTCTCAGTGTTACACTGCTTTCTTCAATCTTGTTCCTATTCTATTTCCTCTCCCTCACCACATCCCATGCTTCAACTGCCAACACAGCCAGTCCTTCTCTGCCTGCTTCATTATTAAATTACTCCCATCTCAGATAGTTTAATGTGTCTCAATTTATTGCTCTTTATATTATCCAACCCACTTCTATTTATACCTTTTTTAAAAATATTTTTATGTATTTATTTTTAGAGAGGGGAAGGGAGGGATAAAGAGAGAGAGAGAAATATCAATGTGTGGTTGCCTCTCACATGGCCCCCACTGGGGACCTGGTCTGCAACCCAGGCATGTGCCCTCACTGGGAATTGAACTAGCGACCCTTTGATTTGCAGTCTGCACTCAATGCACTGGGCTACACCAGCCAGGGCATATTTATGCCTTTTTTTAAAAGTGTACAAATAGCCCTGACCAGGTGGCTCAGTTTGTTGGATCATTAGCCTGTACACCAAAAGGTTGTGGGTTTGATTCCTGGTCCATGTTTCTGTCTCACATGGATGTTTCACTCTCTCTCTCCCTTCCACTCTCTCTAAAATCAATAAGCATATCCTTGGGTGAGGATTTTTTAAAAAGCATACAAGTAGCATATTTCTAGAAGTATTTATAAACATTTTCTCTATCTGACCACAAAGCAAATCAAACCAGTTATCAGATATCAAACTAGATTCTCTTTCCACAAGCAATTAAGTGAAAAATAGAAAAGAAAAAGAAATTAAAACACTCATATTTTAGATTTTTTTAAAAAGATTTTATTTATTTATTTATTTATTTATTTATTTATTTATTTATTTATTTTTAGAGAGGGGAAAGGAGCAAGCGAGGGAAAGGAACATCAGTGTGTGTTTGCCTCTTGAGCACCCTCTACTGGGGACCTGGCCCACAACCCAGGCATGTGCCCTGACTGGGAATTGAACTGGCAACCCTGAGGTGCACAGGCCTGCACTCAGTTCACTGAGCCCCACCAGCCAGGGCTAGATCTTTTTTTTAAATTGAATTTTTTGGGGTGACATTGGTTTACAAAATCATACAGATTTCAAGTGTACAACTCAACAAAACATTTGTACACTGTATTATGTGCACATTTTCCCAAGCAAAGTCTGTTTCTGTCCCAGTTCCCCGCTCCTTTGTCCAACTCCACCTACCCCTCACCTCCCTTTCCCTCTGGCTATCACCCTAACTAGTGTGTGTGTCTATGTGGCTTTTATACATATATATTTTTTAATGTTTATTCTTAATCCCTTTACTTTCTTTCATCTAGCCCCTTGATGACCCTCCCTTCTGACAGCTGTCAGTCTGTTCACTGTGTCCATTATGCCTCTGTTTCTATTCGCAGACAAGTGAGATCACATGGTATTTGTCTTTCTTTGACTGGCATAGATCTTTTTTAAAAACCTGCTTAACTCAGTTAAATAGGATATCATAATTGTAATTAAAAGATAATTAGTATGGAACAGTGATAATACCATTTATGAAACTTGTAGGATGCAAGCAAAGCAATATTTTGAGGGTAATTTATAGTTTTAAGTGCTTACATTTTAACTTTTTTTAAAAAAAAGCTGAAAGTTAGTGAGGCAAATATACTACTTTAATAACATAGAACAACAGAATAAACGTGTAGACAATAAAAAGGCATTAAGAGCAGAAATTAATGAAGTAGGATTTTACTACATAATAGAGGATTAACTCAGCCAAAATCTGTAACTTTAAAAAGACTAATAAAAAAGCCAAACCCCTAGCAATAAAAAAAAAAAACGTAGAAAATGCCTTCAAACATGAAAATAGAGACATAACTTTAGTCACTGAGAAAGTAAAAGAGAGGGAGAAAGACTTCAGTGGGACACAATTTTTAACAATGCTTTTGGACACTTTTCTAGGAAAAAACAACTTACCAAAACTGATTTAAGAAGTTCTGGAAGTTTTTAACAGACTTAGCTTAGACCATTGAGGAAATTGAATTAGTTTAAAATGTACTATCACGCCCACCAAAAACCCCCACTGAACACCAGAAATTTATAAGCAATTGGAAGAAATTATTCCAATCTTGTACAAATCTTCCCTAAAAAAAAGTCCTGTTGTGTGATACCAAAAATGAGACAAAGAAAATTATAAGCCCATCTAATCTCTTCTATAAATGTAGTTGTAAAAGTCTTAAATAAAATGTGAATAATCAGCCTTGGCTGGTGTGGCTCAGTGGATTGAGCACTGGCCTGCGAATCAAAGGGTCCCTGGTTCAATTCCCAGTCAGGGCACATGCCTGGGTTGCAGGCTAAGACAAGAGATCTAAAAAAGATAAAATTAGTAGTAAGCAAAACTGTCATCAGTTACAGCCTTATGATTGTCTATTTAAAAAACAAAAAAAACCCCACAACTCTCTTCTCCGAGCGACCGTAGATGGAAGTGGTATTTGGGCGTTGCCCTGTAGGTACCAGGTAAGGAGAGGTAGGAGCCACAAAACCTCTACAACAGGGCAGAATGGCCTACTACAAACAGAAATGCGTCTGCTTGCAGTCTGGACAAGGTCAAGTTCTGGCCTTGTTACTTACCCTCCAAATAACAAGTTCCTTCCTGAGCAGTTTTCTTTGTAGAGTTGGGATATAACTACAGAATGAGATTGTAAATCTCATGTGAAATTTAAATGACACCATTTGTAAGGCTCTTAGCCTAGGGCCTGATACATAGTAAGCACACGATAAATGTTAGCTATAACAGTAATTACTTTTAGGCTTTTGGATTCAGACTCCGCTCTTCTCTGGCCATTATTCATCTGTAGGACAAATACTATACAGCCTTTACTGCGTCCTGGGTCTGGTGTCTGGGCAGCCGGGGTACACAGACTAGATCACAAGAGGGCCCTGCTGTCTTGGAGCTTAAAGACCAGAGACACGAGTGTGTGAGAGCTGTGAAGGAGTGACGAAGGGGACTACAGCGATCCCTATAAAAACAGAACCTCCAGGGTCCAGGCCCCGCCTGCCTTCCCAGCGCCCCATGGCTATATAGGCAGATGTCCTGGAGTCCTCAGAAATTCTGCTCCAGGAGCTTCTGAAGAGCTTAGTCTCGTGCCACCCGTCCTCTGAGGATGGGCAGAGGAAGCTGGCTTGAAAACAACTGCATCTTGGCTTCCCAGCCCCAGCTCGGCAGCGAACTAGCCTCTGGGTTTTAATGAGCTGCCCTGGGTTAGAAACAGAATGTGGCTGTGGCTGGCTCAGAACCCTGAAGATCTTATTAAAGAATCATCTCCCTCGTACTTTGGGCTAAAATGCTCTTTCCAACTGAGGATCAAAGCAAACTTGACAAACGTTCTCTCATTAATCTCCCCGTCCCCCTGGGGTGGGAGCAGATCTGTAGCTGTTCTCTCTGGCTCTCCAAGCAGGGAAGTTGGTGCATCCATGTGATGTGGCTGGTGGGAAGAGTTCCTGCCAGTCAGATAGGGAGCAGAGACCGGGACCCAGGCATCCCAGCTGCAGTCATGCCACGTGTCACCACTACCCCCACGCCCCCCACCCTCCCCTGTCCTGTGCTGTTTCAGGAAGAAGGAAAACATCTCATTAGGCAAAGAGTCTGCCTCACTGGCCCTCAGGAAGTGGAGAGGAGAGGACTGTAAAGGTTACACAGACGCCGCTGCCAGTGCCCTTTTTAATTTCCTGCTCAGAATGGTAGGCGGCTCTGTCGCTCCTCCTCAGCTGAAACCTTCCCTGTGGGGAGCTGGGACTGCCATCAAAGTCAGCCAGTGTAGACCCAGACTGTGGGGCCCAGCACCCTCCGCCTTCACCCAGAGGGTGCCGGGCTCTGCAAGAGTCTGGTTCCCTGGGATAGGGGGGAATGCGCGGGTGGAAGACAGGAGACTTCTCTGTGCTGCAAATGAGGTACAGTCCATATATCCCAAAGTGTTTGCAGACTACATTATGCCAGTTACATAAAAGAGATTATAATTATTAGAAAACATAAGGGACGATTACAACAATGTGAGCAGGAAAGCGTCATGTACAGTATCACTCTCTGTAAGGCAGTGCGCCGGCTCTGTGGTCGGGCTGCCTGGAACCAGGCCTGGTCGCCGGCACTGGGATCCTGGGCACGTTGCATAACCTTCTGTGTCTCCATTTTCTCACTGAAAAATGAGCATGATCATAGTATCTGTCTTGCTGGATTGTGACGGAAATGAAAGGAGATCATGGTTGGAAGGTGCTTAAAACAGCCCCTCATACGGCAGGCACGCAGTTGCAGACCAGTCGCTGGAACAAGACAAAAATTATACATGTGTAAAAAGATTATCGTTGGTTGATACCTTGTTTTGTGTAGGGAGGAATTCAGTTTGGACCTTGGAGGCAGGGGTTTCAAATCAGCTCAATTCTACCGCATTCCCAAAAGAACACGAGTTGTTTGCTGAAGTATTAGATAGAAATTCTACTTTTTTTTTTTTGCTGAATGACCTTGGTCCTGTCAGTGGGACTTGGTCTTGCCTGAGAAAGCACTTGTCTGTTCCCATCCCCCAGGAGCAGCCTCTGTCCCTTGCCTCTGTTAATATATCCCTAGGGTCGGAGTGAACTTTTCTAGGAGGTCTGTGACTCCTGCATTCCAAAAATTCCATCTCTAGCCTCGGGAGGCTGGCTTGAAGGAGAAATGGAAAAAACAAACAAACAAAAAAACAAGGAGGGAGGTCTGAGGGGACTGCAAGCGGGAATAAGCAAATAAGTGTTTGCAGTCATCGCCAGGTCGACATTAGGAAATCTGCCCAGCTTACCCTCTATACTAACACACCCAAGGAGAAGCACTGTGTGATCATCTCAGCCAGTGCCAAAAAGCATCTGATAAAATTTAACGCCCATTCCTGATGGATAGGGAAGGATAAGGGACTAAATATGGAAGAGCTAAAAATAGAAAGTAACTGTCATTATTTGCAAACTATACCATCATTTAATTGAAAAACCTAAGAGAATCAATGACAGTCTATTGGAACTAATAAGGGAGTTCAGTAATGTAGCCAGATACAAGGTCTGCATGCAGAAATCGGTAGCTTTCCTGCATGCTGGCAAAAATGAATTAGACAACACGATTTTTAAAAGAGCCTGTTTGCCCTGACTGGTGTGTCTCAGTGGATTGAATGCTGGCCTGTGGACCAAAAGGTTGCCGGTTCGATTCCCAGTCAGGGCACACGCCTGGGTTGTGGGCCAGGTCCCCCTTTGGGGACATGCAAGAGGCAACCAATGTATGTGTCTCTCGCACATCAATGTTTCTCTCCCTCTCTTTCTCCCTCCCTTCCCTTCTCTCTAAAAATAAAAAAATGAAATCTTGAATAAATAAATAAATAAGAGCCTATTCACAATATAATAAAGACTATACAATAACTAGTAATAAGCCTATCAAGAAATATACAAAACTCAAGTGAAGAAAGCTATAAAGTTTTATTGAGGATTATAAAGTTGTGAATAATGAAGAGACGCGAGATGGGAAGTCTTGATGTCACAAAGATGCCAATTCTCCTGGTGTCAATCTATAATTCAAAGTACTCCCAATTAACGTCTTTGCAGGATTTTTCACAGAATTCTGTAAACTGATTCTAAAATCTTACGCCAGGCAAGATGCCCAAGAATAGCCATGAAAAAGAAAAATGAGGTGAGATATTACAGAGTCGCAGTAATTCCAACAGTGAGTGACTGCAAAAGGAACAGGCACGTCAGCAGAACAGAATGGAGAATCTAAAAACAAATTCATGTTGATAGGAGAATTTAAAGATTTTATTTGTTTATTTTAGAGAGAGGAGAAGAGAGGGAGCGAGAGAGAGAAAAACATCGATGCAGGAGAAACAAAAATTGACTGGTTGCCTCTCACACGCCTCCAGCTGGGAACCTGGCCCCCAGTGTGGCAACCCAGGCATGTACCATGACTGGGAATCGAACCGGTGACCTTTAGGTTTGTGGGATGACACCCAACCCACTGAGCCACACCAGTCAGGACCTAGGAGCTATATTAAATGTGGCATTGAAATTGGTGGAGAAAGGATGCACCATTTAATAAATGATCTTGAGATGACTGCTTACCATTCAGAAATTTAAAAACTTCACATCATTCACAATAAAATAAATTCTATCTGTATAAAGACCTAAATTTTAAAAAGAACGAGTAACGGGCAAATATATGAAAGTGTTTATTACTGTGGGGAAGGAATGTCTTCTCATATATTACATAAAAACCATAAGAAAGCCCGACACATTTGACCATTTAAAAATTACAAATTTCAATATGGTCAGGGTAGGATTTTTTCTAAGAATGCATGGTTGGTTTAATACCAGGAATAATATCAAATCATTAACCACATCAACAAAATAAAGGGGAAGAGACACATGTCAGGAGATGCTGAAAGAGCATTAGGTAACATTTTAGACCTTCCTGGCAATAACTCCAAGTAAAACAAGAATAGAAGAAATCGATAGTGTGGTAATGACTATATATGCCAAACTGGTTCCTCAACAGTGAAGCATGAAACCATTTCCTTTCAAATCAAGAACAAGACAGGAATGCCCATTGTCATCATTATTATTCAAACTTACTTAAAGATTGCAATAGACAAATAAAATATTTGGTATAAAATAGAGAAAAAAGGTAAAAAATTATTTTTTTTTCTGATATATAATTGCATACTCACAAAACCCAATAAGCCCTAATTTAAAAAACAATTGGGTCCTGGCTGGTGTAGCTCAATGGATTGAGTGCAGGCTGAGAACCAAAGGGTCACCAGTTTGATTCCCAGTCTAGGACACATACCTGGGTTGTGGGCCAGGTCCTGTGGGTGAGGTCCCCGGGGGGGGCCACATGGGAGGCAACCACACATTGATATTTCTCTCCCTCTCTCTAGAAATAAACAAATATTTAAAAAATAAGTTAAATTAAAAAATGGAATTAATAAGAGAGTTTGAGGGCAGTAGCGTTTCTCTGCTAGCAATTGCCACCTGGAAATGGAGATGGGGGAAGTTGTTGCATTCATAAGAGTGATTAAATCTATAAAGAGTGGGAATTATATTAAAAGGGCAGGTGCAGAACCTATCTGAAGAGAAAGAAAACTATAAAAATCTTATTGAGGATCATAAAAAAATCTGAACAAATAAAAAGGCAATAGCCATGTTTTTGCATGAAAAGGTTTAATATAGAATAAATATGTAAATGTAATACAATTCCAATTATAATTCCAATAAAGCTTTTGTGGGAGATAGGGATGTTTCGAATTGGGAATGGAATTGATAAAAATTTTCTTAGAGTCTGCCCTGGCTGGTGTGGCTCAGTGGATCAAGCACTGACCTTCGAACCAAAGGGTCACTGGTTCAATTCCCAGTCAGGACACATGCCCGGGTTGTGGGAGAGGTCCCCAGTAGGGGGCGCATGAGAGCCAACCACACATTGATGTTTCTCTCCCTCCCTCTAAAAATAAGTAAAATATTTTTAAAAATATTTTCTTAGAGTCAAATAGTACAATAAATGTCTGAGAATAACCAAGAAAATCAGGAAAAAAGAAGACTAGTTGCGGGGGTGGGGGGTCTTGCCTTACTGGATGGAAAGCACCGGTAAAGGATGGAGTGGAAAGAGCGTGGCGTGAGCCCAAGAGTAGACGGATGAGTGGAACGTAACAGAAAGCCCAGTAATAGGCCTCTGGAAAGAAAACAGTCATTTGGACATGACAAACGTGGTATTTCCAGCGAGAAAGAGATATTTATTAATAATTGGTGCTGGCACCAATATTCTCATTTTCTTAAGGTGTAAAACAGAGATCAGTTCGGGGGGGGGTGGGAGGAGGCCTTGAATGCTCGGCTGAGGGGGCTCCTGCTCAGTCCTAGGGTCGGATCCTCATATCCACTGTGTCTCTGCCCAGGTGTTGCCATGGTGATGGCGGTGGAGGACAGCAAGGTGCAGGTTGTAGTTCGGGTGAGGCCCCCCACCCCACGGGAGCTGGAGAGCCAGCGGCGGCCTGTGATTCAGGTGGTGGACGAGCGGATGCTGGTGTTTGACCCTGAGGGGCCCGAAGGGGCCTTCCTCGGCCTGAAATGGGGCAGCATCCACGACGGCCCCAAGAAGAAGGGCAAAGACCTGACGTTTGTCTTCGACCGGGTCTTTGGTGAGACGGCCACCCAACAGGACGTGTTTCAGCACACCACCCACAGCGTTCTGGACAGCTTCCTCCGGGGCTACAACTGCTCAGGTGAGACTCTGGGCGACGAGGAGGAAGAGCCCCGGCTGGTGGCTGCCTCGCCGCCCTGCTTCTTCTCATGCTTTTATGTGTCCCCTGACAGGTGCCCGCTGTCCCAGGCACTTGTTGAAGAGGCCTCTGGCCCTTGCATTCTCTGTGGGTCCCCCATTCATTCTCCTCCTGTGTGGCAGGCACTCTCCTGGGCCCTGGGGTACAGTGGCAGATCAGACAGACATAGTTTCTGTCCTCTTGATGCTTCCCGTCTACAAAGGGGGAGACAGCAGTTGACATCACACCCACAGTGTGTGCTTATAGGGTGAGGGATGCGGGGGGAGAGCCGTGGGCCCTCAACAGAGGAAGCTCCCCAGACGGGAGAAGGCATCCCGGAGGAAGGGAGGTGCTTCAGTCTCCATGGAGACCCTCTTGCCTGCGAATTCGAATTCGCAGGCAGGCCAGGACCCAGACGTGGAGAACTCAAGCTGCAGGGCAAATGTGGGGGATGTGAGTGGCTCGGAGCAGCCGGACTGTGCCGATGGAAGGCACAGGAAGGGGCTTGGGGAGAGAAGGGTGGGCTGGGCGGAAGTGCACAGGGGGAGTCAAGCAGACAAGGCGGGTCTGGCCCTGCCACCCCCCTACTCCCGCTCTGTCCCCTGCAGTGTTCGCCTATGGGGCCACTGGGGCAGGGAAGACACACACCATGCTGGGAAGAGAGGGGGACCCTGGCATCATGTACCTGACCACTATGGAACTGTACAGGCGGCTGGAGGCCTGCCAGGAGGAGAAGCAATTCGAGGTGCTCATCAGCTACCAGGAGGTAGGGCTGTTCCCCTGTTCCCTCCTGGGACTGGGCGGCCCCACCCCTCATTCTCACAAGCCCCTCCGATGGGAGGGGCATGGAGCGAGTAGTGGGTGAGGGTGGTAGGAAGGGGGCAGACGGGGCCCAGCCAGCACCCAGAGGGCAGAAACAGCTCAGAGACACACTGCGGGCGAACTAAACCTGCTCTGGTCACTAACAGCATCCTGCAAAGTGCCACTCCTGTGGTGGTGTCTGGTCAGTTTCCCCTGCCCAGCAGCTCAGCCCTCCCAGCCCCTAGCTGGGAGGTCTCCTGGCAGGCCCAGTCCCTCAGGCCTCTCCCTTGCTTCCTTCCTCCTCAGGTGTACAATGAGCAGATCCACGACCTCCTGGAGCCCAAGGGACCCCTCGCCATCCGGGAGGACCCCGACAAGGGGGTGGTAGTGCAAGGACTTTCGTTCCACCAGGTGCGAGGCTGGGGTTGGTAGCACGAGCCGCCCCATTGGTCCTCCAGGGTCCCTCACCAAGCAGTTCGGGATGCCCGAGTCCCACGGCAGCGCCCGCCGGTGACGTGGGTTCTGCAGAGCAGCCCTGCTGTTGTGGGGAGTCCTGGCAGGGGAAGCCACAGCTCCCTTCCCCGTCTTCTCCTCTGTAGCCAACCTCGGCCGAGCAGCTGCTGGAGATGCTGACCAGGGGGAACAGGAACCGCACGCAGCACCCCACTGACGCCAACGCCACGTCCTCCCGCTCCCATGCCATCTTCCAGGTGAGGGGGTGGGGGCTCGGAGCCTGCAGAGGGGGCTTCTGATGCCTGGTGCCGGCTCACTCCTGCCCTCTGCCGGCAGATCTTCGTGAAGCAGCAGGACCGGGTTCCAGGTCTGACCCAGGCCCTTCGGGTGGCCAAGATGAGCCTGATTGACCTGGCTGGCTCGGAGCGGGCATCCAGCACCCACGCCAAGGGGGAGCGGCTGCGGGAGGGTGCCAACATCAACCGCTCCCTGCTGGCCCTCATCAACGTCCTCAATGCCCTGGCTGACGCCAAGGTAAAGCTGCACAGATCAGGGTGCCCACAGCACCCGGCCACTGAGCGCCTGAAACTGAGGGTCCTTCCTTTCAGCCTGGGGACCAGAGGCTGCCAGGTTCCAGCACAGGTCTGTCTGGTCCAGCCACCTCACCCCAGGCTTGCTTGCTGCCCCCCGCCTCCCAGGGCCGCAAGTCTCACGTGCCTTACCGGGACAGCAAACTGACCCGTCTGCTCAAGGACTCTATTGGGGGCAACTGCCGCACAGTGATGATCGCAGCCGTCAGCCCCTCCGGCCTGACGTATGAGGACACTTACAACACCCTCAAGTATGCCAACCGGGCCAAGGAGATCAAGCTTTCGGTGTGTGTCTGCCTGGTGTGGGGGGCCCCAGTCCAGGAGAGGGAGGGGCAGGACCCACCACGTGCCCCGGTGCCTGGAGCACGTATTCCCACGGGGGGAGGGAAGGCCTTCCCTAGCCTGTGTCTTCGGGGAAGTTGTGGTGGAAGCGGCATGGTGCCTGTGCCTGGGAAGACTGCAGCTGGGGGAGAGGCGTGGTGGTCTCCGAGACTCGGAAAAAGAGTAAAATGCAGCACTGGCCCACCGAGGCAGAAGGGGGTGGCCCAGTGATCTTTTCCAGCGATCACTTTCAGACTTGGTTTTAGCTGCAAACCAATGGAAACACCGGCATGCCACACGGAGAGCAGAGCTGCTCTGCCTCCCCCAGCCTCCCCCAGGGAGCAGCTGCTGCTGGGCAGCCCCTGGCCTGGCGAGAGTGGATCAGGCACAGTCAGGGTCCTTGGGTTCAAAGGCGACCTCTGCCTCTGCTGTGGCCTCAGGCAAGGCACTGACCCTCCCAGGCCTGTCCCCGGTCATGAGCCTGACTCACGAGAATGTGAGTGAGGTGCCTGGCACAGTGCCCGGCCTTTGGACGTGAGTGCTTAAAGCTACTCTGAGCGAAGAGACATCTCTCCCCCGTGTCCCCATCGCAGCTGAAGAGCAATGTGGTCAGCCTGGATTGTCACATCAGCCAGTACGCCACCATCTGCCAACAGCTCCAGGCTGAGGTGAGGAGCCCACCTGCGGAGTGTGGCTGGGAGGCAGGGCACCCTGGCTTGGTGGGGTGAGGGGGCAGGAGCATCGGGGTGTGGCCAGGGTTCTGTGCCTGGGGGTGGGGCAGCTCCCACCTGCTGTGCTCACCTGGGGCTCTGAAGGACCGGCTGTGTCGGTTCCAGGTGGCCACCCTGAGGGAGAAGCTTCGAGTGTATGAGGCGGGGGCCCAGGACCTCCCGCAGCCCCCCGAGTCGGGCCCTCCGCAACAACTGTGAGTTCTGTGGCCCACATCTATCCCACCCTTCAGCTCAGCCAGGAAAGCCCCCTTTTCCAGCTTCTGGAGAGCCAGGCAGGACTCCTTGCTTCTGTTCTGACACCTAGGGCTAGGGGTTCCCACCCAGTGCCCAGCACACTGATTGGTACTTAGAATACCCTGTGTCAATGAGCAAAGGACACTCTAGCACATGTAAGCATCATCTACTATTCAAAAGAAGGTATGGTTAAGAGATGGGTGTCATTGTTTCCTAAGCCAGAACATTTCTGGCTCCTCCTCCCTGCCCCTACCCCCAGCTACTGCCTACTTGTTACCCAAGTGTCCATCTTTGTGGGCTCTGTCACGCCTGCCCCCTCCCTGCTTTCCCCACCTGCCCCTACTTCCCACCCCTAAAACCCCACATTTCCCCCCTTAGCCTTTCCAGCTCCTCCCCACCATCCCTCCTCCCCAGCCAGCCCTGCACCCCAGAGCTCCGCCCAGAGCCTGCAGTCCTTCCAGAGGAGAGCCTTGGGACAGAGGCCCAGGTGGGGAGGGTTGAGGAAGAGAAATCTTCGGACCAGGAGCCACCCCCAGAGGAGGAGGACAAAGGCCCAGCTGTGGAGGTAGGACTTAGAGCTGGTGGAATATTAGAAGAAGTGCCCTTTCCAACTCATGGAGTCCGTGCAGTCCCAGGTTCTCTACCGGGGTGTCACATCCTAGCTGTTAGGAGGCTTTCAGATCCTGTGCAAGAAGGAGAGCTACTCTGTTGGGCCCCGAGTTTCTGGGAGTGAGGGGGGAGTGTTACCACGGGGGCCTGGCCATTCCAGGAGCCGTCACCCCCACTCTTGGAGGAGGGAAAGACTAGGAGCCGCTTACACAGGGAGGCAGGTCATCCTGGGCCCTCTATCTGTGACGTCCTTCCTTTTTAGGTTCCAGTCCAGGTGCCAGAGCAGAGCCTCCGACAGTCACTGCCAGCGTCCCCTGGCCCGATCCTGGAGGCCAAGCAAGTGGGGGGCCACCTGTCACCACAGAACCTGGAGGGGGACCATTCTAAGCAGTAGGTGTCTTACTCTTGTCCAGGGTCCGAGGAGGGAGGTGATGGGTTCCAGCTTCCTGGGGTGGGAGTTGGTACCGAGTTGCAAAAGTTCTGGTTCTGTTCTAGTTAACAATCAAGTGTTTCTCACCATTGTCCATTATCTGCTTTTTTTTCAATCCTTACCTGAGGATATTTTTTTTTAGTTGATTTGAGAGAGAGAGGAAGGGAGAGAGAGAGGAGGAAACATCCTTGTGAGAAACATTGATCAGTTGCCTTCTGTACATGCCCTGACTAGGGATCGAACCTGCAACATTTTGGTGTATGGGACGAGGCTCCAACCAACTGAGCCACCATTATCTGCTTTTAACAGCTTGATATTATCACCTACTCTATTTATTTATCATCTATTTATTCCTCCACGTAGCCGGCAGCCCAACAGAAGGGGAGCAAAACACTAAGTTCTGTCGAGGTAGCCGGCAAGTGCCTGCCTAGTGAGGGCAGGGCCATGAGGGCAGGGCCATGAGGGCCGGCGCTTTACTTTCCAGTCTGAGGCCAAGCCAATCACCCTCAGCAGCGGGGAGCAGCCAGAGAAGCCAGGTGTCAGGCCGAGGAAGGGACAGACCTCCCGAGTCAGGTGTTTACTGCGTCTTCAACAACAGATCGACCGTGGCTGTTTCTCTTCAGCAGTAAACACAAACCACCACCCTCGGCCAGAGAGAAATAGATTTTTGGACCATTCTGTGCTTTTTGGAGAGGTGCTGCTGGTATTTTTTCCCGTGGTCCGCAGAACATCAATCCCCTGCCACTTAGCTCTGTGGCTGCCGACCCCACTCCACCCTCCCCAGCGTGCTTCACACTAGGCAGTGTATTTAAAGCTTCTGGACAGAAGGGCCTGTTTAATTTTATTTCTTGTTGGGGAGCGTCTGGTCCCAACTCAGCGACAACGCTGCAGCCTGAATAATCAGCAGCCTATTATCTGTCTCCTGCTGCCGACTCCCTGGGGCCCAGCTGTGGCAGGGATGCAAGGGTGGGATGTCCCCTTGGAGCCCAGGGAACAACCACGGGCTCCCGCTCATGACTCGGGGGCTCCCTGCCCAGTGTCCTCTGTTGCGAGGAGAGGGGACACCAGGGTTCTCGTTTCTGCTGTGCCTCTCGTTTAGTGCCCTCTGACAAGCTGCTTTCGTCTTGGCTAGGATCTGAGGGATCACAACCCTATTTATTCTCCCTGCTTCTTTGAAGCACTAATAAAATGCGACAGAAAACCCTAAGTATGAGGGCATGCAGAACATTCTAGATCATCTCCATACTTGGAAACACCCTAACAACCAGATAATGGGAAATAATTTCTCTTTGGCTTTCTCTAAAATCTTTCTCAAAATCTGAGACCACCAGGGTACCGAGGCAATCTTAGATTTTCCAGTTCAGTGGTTTTTAGAATTTATTTATTTATTTTTTTTGCTGCAAAGTCCTTTCTTCAAACGAACTTAGGCGGAAGTCTAACGTGGAGAACAGATAAAGCAGAACTGCTGTATTTAAAACGTCCTTGGATGGGCTTCTCCAAACCCACTTGGGAAATCCCTGGTCTGGACCATGTGTCCATTCGCCAGATGGGTCCTAGGGCACTCACTGGCCCAGGGCCACACAACCACAGGAGAGAGACAGGGCCACACCTGTCCTCTGACCTCCAGGCCAGTATGTTTATCTTTAACACGCACTCTCCCATTAGATTAGTGGTCTAATCTTTCTGTGTGTGTGGCTCCACCGATAGAGAATGAGTTTCTGCTGTGTCCTTTTTTATTTACATCCTGTCTTCTTTTGAAAAGGCCTGGAGGCCGCTTTAGGAAATGAGCTTGGGTTCCGTGCACACACGATGGGGGCAGAGGAGGGGGCTCCGAGGTGTGTGTGGGGGGGCAGGTAGGAGATGATGCTACCTGGGGACGAATTAGGGGCCATGAATAATCCCCACTGAGATAATTGTGTTTTTCCCTTTATCGTGGGTGTTCCTGACAGGGAGGAAATTTGCTTTATTAGAATCTAAATTTACAACATCAATAATCGCATTATCCTCATAATTTCCCTTAAATAGCGCCTCCCCGCCTGTGAAGGGTGCGCTGATTCACACCTGCTCTTTCAGTATCCCAGCCACTCACTAGAAGGCTCGGACTGGAGGCGTTTTTGAGGGTCCTCTCAGAACCGAGGTCATGCACCCCATTTTATTCAATCTCCTCTTACCCTCACCAGGTGGATGGCATTATTTCTGTTTTAGAGAAAACAATAGTTAGCTGACCTGATAGTGCTCACGGTGTGCCAGGTACTCCTTAAACACTCTCTCTATAAAATAACTCATGCCATCTCCCCAACCGCTGGGTGAGGTGGGTGCACTTGTCACCCCATTTAAAGGATGTGGAGACTGAGGGTAGGCAGCGATCCAAGCTCAACAGCCAGGAAGTGTCGGAACGGGCATTCGGGCTGGTGGGCTGGCAGTCAGACGAGCTTGGCTCTGCACTGCCGCCTGTCATTGCCAAGATCACAGCACTGACAGATGGCGGCGCTGAGAGGACACTGGGACTTCTGAGCCCGAGGCCACTTGGTGCCCTGTCCCCACTTGCCTGGTCACTGTCTTGGTTGGGAGGCACGTGTACTGGGGAAAATCCCCCCTCCCCCCATGGCCCTGGTCTTCATCGAGGGCGCCGCAGAGCGGGAGCTGTGGCTGGGAAGGTGGGCAGGCCAGCCCACGTGTGCTTCTTGCCACACCTGGGGCAGTGGGGCCCCAGGTATGGCAGAGAGGACTCCAGCCAGCTGGGTCCGAGTGGGACAGGGAACGCCTTCCCTCTGTTTCAGGCTGGCGCTGAAGGTGCTGCGCCTGGCCCAGCGGCAGTACTCTCTGCTCCAAGCAGCCAACCTCCTGACCCCCGACGTGATCGCCGAGTTTCAGACCCTGCAGCAGCTGGTGCACGAGGAGAAAACGGGGCCTGGAACAGAGGCCTCAGGGGCTCCAGGCCCAGCCAGGGGGGCACCTCTGGCTCAGGAGCTGTGTTCGGAGTCAAGTGAGTCCCGCCCCTGGCCTGCCTCTGCCTATTGGTGTGGATTCCAAAGCCCAGCTGGTGCCGAGGGTTCGCTGGGTCCTTGATGCTGGAACAGGACCCCTGGGATTGTGGGGCACGCTGAGGGACCCCAGGAGTCACACAGAACTGAGGAGCTAGGGATTCCTGCACGTCTCCCGTGTCTCTCTCCCCACATTCTAGCAACATTCCCTTCTTCTGCTCAGTCCCTGACCTCTCAACACCCTCCTTCTCCACACCCAGGGTCTCCAGGATACTCTGGCCCTGTGACCCGGACCATGGCAAGGCAACAGAGTGGGCTCCTGCGCAGCCTGGGGGTCTCCCCAGGGCCTGACTGCACCTCAGCCCAGGCGTCTCTGCAGCCCAAGCAGAAGAGAAGGAAAAGGCCGAGCCCCTCAGAGCAAGACAGTTGCCCAGCCCCAAAGCCTGGGACCAAGCGCCAGCGCCAGTCCTTCCTGCCCTGCTTGAGAAGGGGGTCCCTGCCTGAGGCTCAGCCTTCCTTCGAACCCACCCCCCCCAAAGGGGGGAGGGCCTCCTCTCCCGGCCCCTCCCCTCGCTTCTGCCCAGCCACAGTCATCAAAAGGCGGGTGCCTCTGGGCTCCTCTGCTCTGCAGAACTGCTCCACCCCTCTGGCCCTGCCTGCTCGGGACCTCAACACCACCTTCGACCTCTCCGATCTCTCAGAGGAGCCTGTCTCAAAGCTGGGTTTCCATGAGTGCACTGGCTGGGAAAACGTCCCCCAGAGCAGGCTGGACCAGCCCTTCGTCCCCAGGTGAGCCCCCTTCCTGCCTGCCTCCCAGCCCTCCAAGCAGGGTGACAGGGCTCAGGGAGGGACAGTGACTACCGCCTGCAGGAGTAGAAGACAACGCAGCTCTTGGAGCCTAGACATGAGCTGTCTGTTTCCCTTCGGTCTGATCAGGTCGCTCCCCAGGCCCCAGGGGCCGGGCATGCAGTTCCATGCAGGCCTTGCTGCTCTCGGGGGCCCTGCCTTGTCTCTCCACCTCCAAGCCCCCAGCGCTGGGCTGGTTTGTGGCATGGCCGTGAGGAGCTACAAGTGGGACCCTCACTTGGGGGTGGTCAGCAGGGAGCAGTCCAGCCCTCCCTGTTCCTCTGCATCGCTCGGGTCCTTTGCTCCGATTAAGGTTCTGTGTCCCACCAAGAAAGTGCTCTGTCCACCACTGCTGCCCCCAGATGTCACCCTCTAGCCTAGCATCCGGAACGGGGATGGGGAATCCTCAGAAAACTCTATTCGGCATTTTTCAGTGAGAAGATGAAGTTCTTACCCCCACCTTCCACCCACATGTCAGGTCAGGGGAACAGCAACCATCTCAGGGAAGTCCAAGGCCAAGAACAAGTGGCAGACTGACCTGGACTTGTGAGGCCACGGACGCAGGCTGCCCACCACACCCCCACTTCTCCCGTAGCCCCAACCACCTCTCGGTAACCAGCACCAGGTGGGCAGATGGAAGGGTGAGACTGTTTGAACTCTGGTTCCCCGGACACACCAGAAACGGACACCTGGACGTTCTCCCAGAATAGGCCTGTCACTCAGCTGCCAGCTCAGGCCAAACGAGGCAGGAGAAGAATCGCCTCTTAGCAGGAGGAGACCCCAGAGGCCATCTAGTCTAACCTCCCAGCACCTGAGCTGGAGCAGGGATGCGCCGGCCCCCTTTTCTGGTTCGCTCTTGACCTGTCGTCTTTCTTCCTCCCCCAGTGGACCTGTGCCCCCGTTCACCGTGAAGGGCCCCAAGCCAGCATCTTCCTTCCCTAAGACCTCAGCCTGCAAGAAGAGGCACGTCGTGAGGTGAGGCTGGGGAGCTGTAGGGGAAGGTGGACGCCCCGGCCCACTGCAGGCCCCGAATATCTCTGACCCCTCGGAGCTCGAGCCCCGTGAGCAAGGCCAGCATCGGTGGTCTGACTGAGGTCCCCCTGGTCTTTGCCAGTAGAGAACTACGCTAGAGGTGAAGGGTGTCTCCCTTCTTTGGTTAAAGACCCTCTTCACGAGGGAGACATTCAGTGTTCACTGGTTAATCCAGGGAAAGAACTACCCACCCCCTCACCCCCACTTCCCTCCCAAACCCCACTAAACTCCCTGCCCCCACCCCTCCCACCTTCAGGTCTGGCCTTGGAAGCACTGGTTGGTGCTGAAGGCCGGGGGTCTAGGCCCACCCACCCACTCCTGCCTGTAGCCCAGGGACACGGCTGTGACCTTGCTACCTTCCTTCTTCCTCTCCTCAGCTCCTCAGTCTCCCGGCACAGCCGCATAGCCCGCCTCCCCAGCAGCACCTTGAAGAGGCCAGCCGAGTCCCATGCAACCCCAGGTGACTGGCATTGGGAACAGGGGTGGTCTGGGCCACCATGACAGGTGGAAAAGGAATGAGTAAGGGACAAGGTGCGCTGAGGCCCGAGGGCCTGGGGGTGTTTCCAGGCAATTCAGGAAGCCTGATGAGAGAGATGGGGACAGGACGGGGGAGGACCGTGGGACAGAGCCTCACCCTTCTTCTCCCTCCCCGCCCCCACCCCACCCCTCCAACCAACCGGCCTGCAGAGCTGCCCTTCAGCGCCCACTGCTCTGGCAACATGAGGGGCCAGAGGGAGTTGATGAGGGTCAGGGGAGTGCTGTCAGCCGGGAACTGCGTCGCCAAGGTGTCCTGACTGCTGTCCCCTCTTGGCTCCTGGAGCAGCCTGCATCGGGAACCCGACCTGCCCTCCTCAGCGTGGAGCAATTACTGCCAACACCCTCTTCCTTCGTTAACACTTGTCTGCCTGCCGGGCACTCATTCCGCTACTCACCCTCTGTGTTAACCTCTTGTTACACTCAGCTCCTCAGTGTGTATATATACAGTGGAGAGTGTTAATGTGTTGCTGTTTTAAAGAGTGCTGCTGTCCATCGTTCCCCGCTAGCTTGTAACACCCTCCCTGCAGGCAGGTAGCTGGGGGCTCTGTTCCCGACCCCCAGTCTAACAGAGGGCGCTGCACAGGGATCACAGTGGAGGAGGGTGAGGATGAGGAGAGGGCCTGGTGGGGGGCCCCAGCTCAGTCCTCCCTGGTTTCTGAGACAGGGACGTCTTCAGCTCCACCCCCCCAGCCTGGAGCAGTATCCGCAGTCCTGCTGATGATGCAGATGTTGGTGGCGCCTGGATTTCCAAATGGCAATGGCTTCCTTGTTTGTACTCTATTGTAAACAGGCCACATACTCAGTGTTAAAAGAAGTGTAAAGAAGAAAGGGAAAGTCAGCCTTAATACTACCACCTAGATAGCAAAGCTGTGAATACGTGGGTTTATATCCCCTGATCCTTTATTTCTGCATATATAATGCATGTAGATGTGGATGTGTATTTTATTACAGTGATTGGTAAGCCATCTCTTTGTGGTGTGAGCGTCTCCCTGTGCACCCAGGCAGGACGGCAGTGCGCCTCCCCTTTCTCACCTTCGAACTCTTTACGACCTCCAGACACTTCTGAGGTCAGAACATTCCCCTCTGCCTCTCCTGCAGCCTCAGGTCTGTCTTCCCACAGTGCGGGCGTGGGTTACGGAGTCCTGCGGTCAGTCGGGGTTAGGGCTAGTGGTCCCCAGGTCTCAGGTGAGGCTCCAGGCTGGGCCCCGACAGGTCTGAACCGAGGGTGACCTTCCTCCCACCTGCCCCCACAAGGCCCCACTTCCCACCTTTGTTGGGGTCTTTCCTCTCCGCTCACTCGGGTGGTGGCCGTGCAGTACGAGTTTGCCTCCGTCCAGGAAGATGGAGTGAAGGGTGTGAACCAATGACGGAAGTCTGCGGTAACTCGCTTCTGAAAGCAAACACGCCAAAGGCACTTAACACACCAGGAGAGGTGTGTAAATAGTGCCGCTAACGTCAAACGGGGCCTCGCTGTTCTGCAGGAGCAGCTTCCCCTTCGACCTGGTGCGCCTCTCCCCCTCAGTTTTGATGCTCTTTGGAGGCGTGGAGAGGACGCCAAGCAGAGCCCTGAGCTCTTACCAGCTGCAGGCATCTTCACAGAAGTTCTCGATCTTGTGAGGTCTAATGAGGAAGCAGACTCAAGAAGTCAAACCAGACATGCCCAGGGTTAGACAGCAAGTGGCAGTGTCGGGATTCGAACTGAGATCTAGTCTCCTGCATGGCACCAAGCTGCTTCCCTTAAGGAGTGAACAGACATCCTTTCTCCCTGCATGCCTGGGGTTTCCTCCTCTCCAATTAGTCTTAATGAGTTTTTTTTTTCCCCCTGTGTGCCGTGATTCCCACGGAAGCAGTCACAGCTTCACATCTGTAGCCTCCAGCAGCCTGGCATGGTACGGTGACCTTAGGAGGCCTTACTGTGTGCTGGCTGGATTCAAACTGAACAACCTTCCCTTTCCCGGGGCCCTCACGTGTATTACCTCATTTGGTCATCACCATCGCCCGTGTGAGTGCAGAGGCAGCAGGCACAGGGCGAGGCAGCCAGCAGCTGGGGCCAGCAGGGCAAGCTCCGCGCAAGATCGTCCACTGCATGAGGCAGAATTCGCCTGGGCCGGGGGCGGGGGCAGCTCGTGCAAGTGGAAGATGTCAGTCCAGACAAGGATGTTCTGCAGATGGTCATTGGCTCGGCAAACATTTGCGGGTCCGTGGTGCAAAATGTGCTCTCAGGTGACCCACTAAATGCATGAAGACTCTGCCAATGGAGTTAAGCATGTGTGGCTCCTGCCCTCGATCATGGAAGGTGGGGCTGACAGTGCCCACTGGCCAGAAGGCAGCCTGGCTGGTCCCTGTTCCCTGGGAGCTGGCAGGGGCTGAGGTGGGCGTGAGCTGACAGCTCTCAGCCGACCTCTGTGGGCGGGGACGGGAGTCTAAGATGGGATTGTTCCTACAGAGAGAGAACCATCTGTGAGACATGGCAACCGATGGCTCCCCTGTCCACTGCAGGCCCAGCCCGCTCTGCGCTCCCTCTCCCCACTTCACCCCGCCTCTTCCGCCTGGTGATCTGTGCTGAGCCCCTGATTCTGCTTCTGGGTGTTTAGAAGTACTGTCTTCTCAGGCCCGCAGCTCAGGTCTAGGGTCCAAACTCACAGGACTAGGCTCAGGGCCAGGGGTTTCAGACCCAGAGAACATGACACAGTCCCTTTGTGCAGCATGTCAGAATAGCGCCTGCCCCCGTCACCTGAGTGTAGGCCAGCCCCCCATCAGTGTTAGGACCTGTCCAGGGGAGAGGACTGGGCTTGCCCCTCCGGGCCTCCTCACCCTCAGTCATCAGCTTGGTCCCCACAGGGGACCTTGTCACCACACGGGGACCCTCCTTAGCAGCTGCTAACTCGGGAGTCTTGCCTCCTGGACCTCTGCCCATTTGTCCCCAGGAATGTCTCTTTGGCTCTTGGCTAAGTTTGGGGGGGATCCTGGTTCCCAGACAAAATCTAGTTCGTGGCTGTCTTCCCCTCCTCCATGGTTTTTTTGCGGACAGAGCCCCAGGAAGGTTTGGGATGGAGGTTTTGGGGCTACAAAGGCCAAAGTCACCCCAGGGGGGCAGGGCCGGAGATCAGCTGTGTTCCAGCTCACCCACAGCCCTCCCCCCCCACCGTGTCCTGGTTCAGCCTGTGCATTTGGAGGACCACTGAACTGAAAACAACAGGCTGCCCGCCAGCCCCGTCCTCCCGCCAGGGACACATCTGGTCCCCGCCTCTCACCCTTCCAGAGGGAGGCAGTCAGGCAGGGAGGTGGAGGGGAGCAGGGAGCACAGCAGATCTGGGAAAGCAATTAAAAAGCGGGTCTCAGGGCGAGAGGCTGAGAGGTGGGGGGAGGCTGGAGCGGGGCCCAGGCTGGTGGGGGAAGAAGAGGGGAAAGAAAGAGCCCGGGCTTATCAACCCCAGCGAAGCTGCCTGGCACACGGGTCTGTGAAGGTGACTACGTGCTGAGGTGGGACCGGGAAGAGGAAGGGGGTGGAAACTGGGGGCTCAGCCAGGAACCCTTTTGCATCCATAGAAGTTGGGCGCTTCTAACCAGCAAAGGCTGGCTGGCCTGGCACAGGCTGGGGCAGAAGGAGCCTCCCTGGCCTGTGGCAGCTGTCCTCCAGCTGGAAGGGGACAACCCCTGTCCCCAAGGAGCATCCTGCTGACAGTGACCCATGGGCTCTCTTGTCAGGGAGTTCCGTCTGAGCAGAAGCGGTGGCCCCTGTCCTGTGGGTGCCTTGGTCTGAAGGGGCAAACAGACCCTATCCTTAGGGTGATCCCAAGTCTGATGAAACATAGGTCCCAGCACTGGGAAGCCCCACCCACAGAAGGAGACACAGCCCCTCCTTAGCAAGCATCTGAGGAGGTATCGGAGAACCGGACCCATGGCTGAGGGAGATGATACACCCAGAGGGAGTTGGGGCCTCTAGTCTGGGGCTGGGGGAGGGCAGGGGTGGGGGAGTCACCCCCTGGTGACTCCCCCAGGGAGGCGAGAAAGCAGGCTGGAAACAGCCTCTACCCTGAGTTCCTCCGGGGCAGTGGGAGATGACTTACCTGTGTCCGCTCGCAAGGCCTGAGCCACAAACAACCATTGGTCTAGGGGCCAATGGTGCGGTCTCCCACCCTCTCCTCCCTGGCTGCTGCCCCCTGGGTCCGGTCCACAATGCCAGGTAACTGCCTGCAGGACACGCGGCCTACACCCCCACCCCCAGGGGGCCCAGCACCCACTCAGGGCCCACCCCATCACCAATGTATGTGCTAACTCGGAGACAGGGAAAGCACCAGTAAGGGGGGTGCTCCCATTAAATGGGAGCTACGATTTGTCGAGAGCCTGCTGCATCCGGCTTCCACTGATTTTATCCTCATAGCTACCTTGTAAGTATTTCTAGTCCCCATTTTATAAATGTGGAAATGGAGACTCAAGAGAAGGTTCTTGAAGTTGGCCAAGATCATACAGTTATTGAGTGGCCACAGCCTCGCTCTTTCCCCCAGAGGGCATTGCTGTGGTGGTCAGAGGCAACCTCAGAAAATAAAGGGGTGATGCCTCAGGGTGATACCAATTTGGGTTTGGGCAAGCCTGCCTACACCTGAGGCTGATGTGCTTCCTGCCCCTAAATGGCTGTGGCCCCTTCACCCTGGACAGAGCCCGGGCAGTTGAGCACTGCCATCTAGTGGCCACAGCAGCCCGGCTCCCTTCCTCAGGGACCAGTCTGAATGGACAGACTGAGGGGCACAGAATGAATCTACCAGGGAGAGCCTTGTTCTCTTCATCCCACCCATGCCTGCTGGCCACCAGGCTGTGCCAGGCCTGGGAAGAGGGATGGGGGCTCAGGCAGAGCCAGGGGGCAGCAGTCTAATGGCAAACCAGCCCCTTGAATTAGAGGCTGGCAAACTTGGCAAATGCTAGGCACCTCATGGGTGGGCCGAGGCCAAGTGTGGCATTGGTCTATCCTGAGAGGCGCTTGCACCTATAAGCAGATTGGCATCCTGGAAGATTCTGGCGCAGGAGAGGGGGCGCATGGGGTAGGGGGTCATCTTATCTCTCTCTCAACTTGAAGTGGGCCACGGCTTGGCGGTAGGCACTGTGGAGGGTCACCCAGGCATCCTCTGCCCGGCCCACAGCTTCCTGCTATCTAGTGAAGAAGTGGACCTCGGGGTTGGCTGGAGGCTCCAGACATCGAGGCCCGCTGGCCAGGGTAGCAGGAAGGGAAACACCATGTGGATGGGGCCTGAGCCAGGCCGGGGGATGCAGGCAGCAGTGGTGGCTGAGAACTCTGTCTGCCTGGGGCAGACGTGCATCATAGTGTAACCTAGAACACACACACACACACAGAAAAACATAATTGTTAACAGTAGGGCTTAGTAAAATCAATGCATATAGGGGAAAACCATGTAGCTGTTAAAATGATGATATAAACAAATATTTATTGATATAGAAAGATGTTCACAACATATTGTTGAGTAAAAAAAAGCAAATTACAAAATAATTTGTGCAGCATGAGCTCACTTGTGAAAACATGAATTTATATGTGTGGGGGGAAATCTCCAGGCAGCCAAATTAGGGCTAATTCAATTTCGTATGTGTGTATGTGTTTCCTGCTTTTTCTACAAGGAATGTACAATACAAACGCCATAAGTTGGGCACACAACCACGACCAAACCAGTCTTCTGTGCTAGTTCTCTGTGTCCTTAGGGAAGGCCTGAGTGTGGGGATGGGTCTGAGAGCCACAGGGGGGTTGAAGACGGAGCAAGAGGCTGAGGTCTGTGACAGGGGCCCAGGGAGGCAACTGGAGTGAGTGAAGGTGGAGCCTCCACCTGCGGCTGCTGTCTCACACACACACACCACTGGGCATCACTGACTGACAAGCACTTTCTGCTCTTGTTAGGTCTGTTGCCCCCAGGGCTGCTTGGTGCCTCAACCAAACTTGATTTGAACAGGAATCAGAGACCACGCATGGTGACTTGCCCGGAAGCTGGAAAGGCAGTCACTGCTGGCCATGGAGAGGAGAGCGGGGACAAGGTTTTGTCCTCAGTCTTGCTCTTCTTTTAATGAGCTTTGTCCTTCCCCAGCTACCCCACCCACGACAGGACCAAAAGCCACTGAGCACCCCGTCTTCAGGATTCCCTCCCCATGAAGTGGCTTAGGCTCTGGGGTCCAAAGTGGCAAAGACTTAGAGACTCTTACCTCCTCTCTCTGTGCTGGGACTTACAGGGGAAACCCCATAATGTGCCCAGATGAAGAGCACCTTCTTCTGCACAGGGTAAG